ATCCATTTATATATATATATATATATATATATATATATATATATTTGTCCAGAATCTAGAGGGTGATGGGTGGAACTCTAATTGCCTACGACACAAAACACTGTAAAGAACTGACGAGTATATCTATAAAGATACTTCAATATTTAAGTTAGGATGGTTCTCACATAAAATATAAATTATGAAATAGATGTGTATCTCATATAATAATAATGTTGGTTGTATTTATAGAAGTCCAGAGTTTAATTTTCTTTATTTCTTGATATGGAACTTTTAGTTGGATGGGACAATTTTATTCCATGACTTATTAAAATATAAGCTTTTGAATGTACAAAATCAAAATCATAAATCTTGGACTTAAATCTTTGTTTTAATTTTTTAAATAGATAACTAATGGAGAGGAAAAATTATATTAAAGGCTTGAAAGACAATTTGGGGGAGATTCATTATGGGATTGATCAGGATTGAAGAGATAAATAATACATTGAGTTGTAGCAACCGATAAACTATTTTATTTTCTGTCTATTATTATTGCATATGCATTTTTACTAGTCTAGTTTTTTAGGGTTAATTAATTAGTATAATTTTATATTGAAGCAGGCGAGTGAAAGACTTTTACAGATAATTACTTCAAGTGATTTGGATTTTGGAGTTTAGGTCTATTTGTCTAACCTCAAAAAATGATTTTGAAAAAATATAAAAGAGAAATACATCACTAGATTTGATTAAATTTCCTTTTTATCAAATTCCAATTAAAAATAAAAACTTATACTCGCATACTTGAAAATTTTTTAATTAGAAAACATCCCCAAAAAAATCTCATATTCACTTCACACTTGAATGCCCAAAAAAGCAAGGGGGCAAATTGGTAAAATCAACGACCTAATAATGATCTTAAAGATAAACATTGAATGGCACATTCGATATTTTACGTGAAATTCAAGTCTGATATGGTAACAAAGCATGCATATAAGGCCAAGCCCCTTCCCCCACTGCTCCACTATGCTTTTTTTTTCTTTCTCTTTTCTTCCATCTTCTTCCCTTTTCACGTCATTATCCTAAAGTTGCAGAGTTTCACATCCCAGACAACAAAATGAAGAAGGGAAGGTTCATGCTTCTGTCGGTGCTCTTATGTGCCACCTTTCATGTCTCCTTCTCCATTATCGACGGTAACCCACAAATTCAATATTCTTATAATGTATACATTTATGTATATGTAGTCACTTAAGTTAAGGTATGCACTCTCATTAGTCATTATACATAAAATACTATTACTCAATGTTCATCATCTTCATAGAGTTCTAATAAAGTTTTCAGGCCAACTTTTTAGTTAATCCGAAGGGGTGAATTTATTGTAATGTTATATATTCGTTGATGTGGACATAATTTATGAGCATGATGATATGCGCCCTAAGCACAATTGAATTATTATTATATTGGGGTAGGGTACAAAACTAGGCACATTAACATAGATAATGTCATTATAAATCAGAATTTTACATCAATAATATGAATAAATTTATATTAAGATCTATATTAAATATAAATTATTAAAATAAAACTTTAATTTTATTTTGAAAAGTAACATGTACTATAATACTGTATACTTAAATTTTGACACAGTGAGTTGTGGGGCCCACATTTTAGGGTGAGCATAGTGCATGCATGGTGGTCTGAAAGTGCACATGGCCTTGCTGTGTGGTTACATGGGACGTTTCGAGTGGACAAGGAAATAGGTGTCGCAGGGAACCACATGACTTCAGAAACCTATTTCTGAATTTTGAAGACAGTGTATATCGTAACTATAGCAACTGCCAAAGTTTGGCACAGTGGGGTATAGTAATGGGATTGGGGACTCAATTAGATTGCGTTTTGCATTGGACTAATTGGTTGGCTTCTAAATATCTTGTGCAAAATGTGGTCCTGTCAAATAAAATTGTCACCATTTAGCTTGTCATAAGATCATTTATATAATTAGACTAATAAAACACTTTTTAACAATTAATGTGTTTGGTCTTATGTTTTTATGCGTTGTGTCGATCGAGTGAGATACAGCTAATTAAATATTTGTTATTTTTGTGTTTGAAGTTGCTATTTGTTTTTTTTTGGCATTTTTTCATTCTATGACGTACATTGGTAAACATGTGTATTCAATAATGTTCCAAACACATACTACAACACTGTTTTCACGCCACACTACTTTTTTTTAACACTTCTTTCTTTGAGTTAATTACATATACACTACATTATAAAAATTTTTTACACTGAAACTAATCATATCTTTTAATAATATCATGTCAGTTGTTTATTTAATGAAATAATAATAAAATAAATAACTTTAAAAAATATGATTGGTTGTTAGTATAAAATTTTTTACCCTGATAGTATATAAATGATTATCTCTTTTTCTTTTACTAGATAGAAGTTAAAATTCATGTGAGTCATGCTAGTAATTGGGAATAGGACACATCAAGTGAATGGAGACTTACATAAATAGTGAGATCTATAAGAATTTCACTAGATAAAAAAGCAGTGCATAAAAAAAGGAATGTTAGAAAATGAGATACTAATATTTTTTTAATTAATATAATATATTTTATTGATTATATAGAGTTTCAATGTGTGTATTACTATTTTAATTTCTATTGGATAAAATTTTCGCAAGAAAATCTCAATGTCTAATTTTTGTCTTGAAATATATTTTTATTGAATATAGTTTTATAAATGATTTGTTTGAAAAGAATATTTTTCAACTAACTATAAATTATGTTAATTATGATTTTGAAAGTAAAATTTAACAGACTCATCTATGAATTTGTGTTTAGAAAAAACTTTAAATTTCCTCTAATATGATATTCTATATTAATTATTCAAGTGTAGAAACTTTAAACTATAAATCAATTATTATGATTGTTGAGATAATTTTTCGCCTCAAAATATCTGTAATTTAAGGTTTTGTATATTATATCACTTTTTATACAATATTATTAAAATAATTACGTTTTTAATTAAAGGTTTATATTTAATTGTAATAATTGAAAATTTTATGACAGAACAAATTATAAAAAAATACAGTATTACATTAAAAAATTGAAAATACTAAGTATTTTAATATTTTATAAACAATAAAACTACAGTCATTTTAAGATAGGTGAAATAATCAATATATAGTATAAAATTTATTATATAATAATTTGATGCGAAATTAAAACGATCGATTGATGAATATTAGCTGCACTTTATTTCAATACTCTTCTTTTTATTGACAAAATTAATTTAAAATTATAATTTTTGAATCTTGTATTTCATTTTAAGAGTCTCTCCTCGTTTAGTGATACAAATGATTACAATTTGTTATTTTCAATTAATAGTAGAGAAAATGTTAGAGTGAATTTTGCTATTATTTCTCAAAATTGTTTTAACTTTTTGTTGTAGTTTACTTGAGAAACACTAACAAAATAATTTTTAACATATTTTTTTTAATTTGTTAAAATTTATTTAAAAAAATACAAAAATTTGTATGTCTCTCGCATTTTATTTAACCGATACTCTCTTTTAATTTTATATTTTTTAATAAGTTTTTACTAATAAAAATAAATATGTTAAAAAGTATATTTCTAACACTTATTTTACCTTAAATCACCGAGATCCATCCAATGACAAAATATTGAAGTGATATGTAGTTATAACATCTATGCAATTGTGATATCACATATTTTGTGTGTCATTATAGTTTATATCTGTATTTTTTAATAATATATTAATATATATTATATTTATTATGTGGATAAAAGTAGTGATTTAAAACCTGGATCGAATTGGCTGGTTAGACCAGTTGGACCAGGAATCGGTGGTCTAGCCGGTCCAAATCTTAAGTTGGATCGGTTATGCAGTCAACCCGTTTCAAACTGGATTGAACCGGTCAATTTTCCGGTTTAACCGGTGAACGGTGGATCAAACCGGTTCAACAACTTTTTTTTCTTATTTTTTTTTAAAATTTTTTTAAGGGACCATAAATTTCAAAAATAATAATGAAAATTGAATCTCTTAATGGAAGAACAAAGAGTCTTATTAAATATAACAATGACTACTTGTTCTAATGTATTTGTTTGTAATATATACGACTTAAATAACTTTTATAGTATATTATTAATTTTAAATTATATATTTAATAATATAATATCTATGTAGATATTATATATATTATTTTGTGATATCAATTGCAAGCATATTATATATGTACATATTATTTATATTTTTAATTTGCATTAATATACAGTTTAACATATAATTTTTTGTGTATTATTTTACAAAATAAAAATAAAAATAATTTTAAATAATATAGAAATTTTGAAATTTAAAATAAGATATAAATTTATTAAAATTTATAAGCATAAAATATATTTAATATGACTATTTTTTTAATAAAATAAATAAAAATCAAGTTATGCAGTTCAACTAGTGATTCACTGATTCAACTTTTGACCTAATGACTCAGTACCTTAACCAGTTCGATGACCGGGTCTGATTTTTAAAACTATGGATAAAAGTAATTTTTTAGTGACATTTGTTGTGTGTTAGTAGTTGAATTGCATTGTTAATGCAGGTCTGGTAGCGAACGGGAACTTCGAGTTGGGGCCAAAGGCGTCGGATCTGAAAGGAACGGAGGTGATCGGCGGAAGGCACTCGATCCCGGAGTGGGAGATCTCAGGGTTCGTGGAGTACATAAAGTCAGGTCAGAAGCAGGGCGACATGCTGCTGGTGGTGCCGGAGGGGGCGTACGCGGTGAGGCTGGGCAACGAGGCCTCCATCAAGCAGACGCTGAGGGTCACCAAGGGCATGTACTACTCCATCACCTTCATGGTCGCTCGCACCTGCGCCCAGGAGGAGAGCCTCAACATCTCCGTCACGCCTGACTGGGGCCTCATCCCCATTCAGACGCTCTACACCAGCAGCGGCTGGGACCCCATCGCCTTCGGCTTCAGAGCCCTCTCTCAGACCGTCCAGATGCTCATCCATAACCCCGGCAAGGAGGAGGACCCCGCCTGCGGTCCTCTCATCGACTCCGTCGCTCTCAGGACTCTCTACCCTCCCAGACCCACCAACAGTAAGAGTCTGTTTAGATTGACATTTTATGCAGACACATGCACGCAGACAGACTGTCTGTCTGTCTGCGTGTATCTGTCTGCATGCATGTGATCATGTGGTATTCCTTAAGATCATTTCTAACGTACCTGTTAATTGGACTGCTTAATCACAAGAACAAACATTAATTGCTAAAAGAACATGAATTAATGCCTATAAAAAGCAATTAATTAGTTAATTAAATATATATTAGCATGTTTATGAATATATGTTGGACAATAAAACCGCTGGCTCTGGTCCTACGTTCATATTATCTAGGTAGGTAGGATGTTACGATCATATTTATGAAATGCAATTATGCATCCTATCCCTCTAAAGCCTCTATTGGAGCTAGTACAAAAGCCAGCATAAATTCAAATTCAGAATGTGTCTGACACTAGAGTATAACAGCTGTTTTCTCATTAATTGGTCTTCATTGCATGTGTGATATGGACTTATGGTTAACTATTTATTACTTGCTAGGTGAAGAAAATGGTTTCTGATTTCACGTAACATTGCTCCGTTAAAAATAGGAAAAAGAAATTCTACGGAAAATTAAATCTCTCTATCTGTCTATCTATATTTATTTTGTTTGTGAGTGAAATTATATGGGACCATGACAAGCAATGAATACTAACTATCCATCTTATTTCTTTAATTAGGTGACTATATATTTATGCAAAATGTAAAGGAGTACCTTATAACCTGCTTCTAACAATTCAGAATTTCAGAGCTACTTCGCTATATATTAAATTGACGAGTAGCTATACTAGTCAATGAATGACAGAAATTTTGCATATAATGCTACTAAAAAGTTAAATTTATTTTGCCAAATTAGTTCCAACATCATAAGCTTGGATCCCTAATAGATAGTTTTATCTCTTGAATATTTGATAAAGAATTTGATCATTATTTTGTATGTATGAAAAAAAATTAGTTAAGTAATTTCAATCTTTAGTTTGTATGTATGGAAATATATATATATTAGTTAAGTAATTTCAATTTTAGATAGATTTTGATATTTCAAAAGATTAATCATTAAATTCTAGCTACAAGGTAGTCTAATTCACCAAAAAAAAAATCATAAAATTGGGGACTGATAAATTATTTGTTCAAAATGCGTTTGCTTCAAGTTGCCTTAACATATTTATAGAAATATATAAATAGAAAATGTGTATTTTCATGTTTGTTATAAGGAAAAAAAAAAAAAGTATTCCCGAACATAAAATATTCACAAAATAAATATATATTCTCATATTTTTCATTCCAAGTAAAGGGAGTGGATACCTTGATCCTTATTGAGTGTGGGAATAACATATATCCAACAATGTGATTTTTATTGTTATAATTCGAAGTTTTTTTTTCAAGAATAAAAGTAGTTAACTTAAAAAAACTGTCTCTTTAATGACTAATTGAAGATAGAACATGTCTATATTTATATCTCTATGTGTGAATGTAAACAATATTTGAACCTAAAATCTCATTCAAACTGCATAAATTTAGATATAAAGAATATTATATTTAGGGATAATTAAAACACATGATTTGTATTGTCAATTGTGCATCTTTTCAATACTAATTGGACAGTTATTTCGTCACTAAATCTTCAAATCAGTGGTTTTCCTTCTATATAGATATTTCAATTAGCATATCTGATTGATACTATATATTGCAGAGAACCTATTAAAGAATGGAGGGTTTGAAGAAGGACCCTATGTGTTTCCCAACTCATCATGGGGTGTGATCATCCCCCCAAACATAGAGGACGACCACTCTCCCCTCCCAGGGTGGATGGTGGAGTCCCTGAAGGCAGTGAAGTACATAGACTCAAACCACTTCTCAGTCCCTCAAGGCAAAAGAGCCGTGGAGCTAGTAGCGGGAAAAGAGAGTGCCATTGCTCAAGTGGCCAGAACCATCCCCGGCAAAACCTATGTTCTTTCATTCTCCGTTGGAGACGCAAGCAACTCCTGCGAAGGCTCCATGATCGTCGAAGCCTTCGCAGGCAAAGACACCATCAAGGTGCCTTACCAGTCCAAGGGCAAAGGAGGCTTCAAACGTGCTGCCCTAAAGTTTGTGGCGGTTAGCCCTAGGACACGCGTCATGTTCCTTAGCACATTCTACGCCATGAGAAGCGATGACTTCTCTTCTCTTTGCGGGCCTGTGGTTGATGATGTCAAGTTGGTGAGTCTGCGTAAGCCATGATGAAGATCGAGGGGATTCCACATGCATACGCACGAGTTGTTTACTAGTAAAATATTTATATATATGTTTAAGTTCTCAGCCTTTGATTTTATATATAGTTAATTAGGAGGATGATCAATTAAGAGTTAATGCTTCTTTATTTATGAGAGATATTGAGTATGATGATTTTCATTTTAATATGAAAATAAGTGTGTATAACAACAAGTGTCGATCGATCATTTATAGACGTATAGTATACAATGGCGTGTTTCTATGAATCCTTTTATGTATTTTGAATAAATGATGCGAAAGAAATATAGAGTATCCATGACTTTGTGCTGTTACAAATTTTAAACTCTAATTTATTGTCATTAAATGTTGTTGATATGAAAAGACAATTAAATTATAATGTGGTGATAACACAAAGTGATGTGGTTGACAAATGGTATTATAAGTATTTATTTTGATAACTATCTTATTAATGAAAAAATCTTAAATATGTTTTTGATTTTTGTAAAATTAGTAAGTTTTGATTTTAGTTCTTATAAAATTAAAATTGTTATTTTTAGTCCTTATTTTTATGTAATCATTTTAAACTAATTTTTATTTATTAAAAAGTTAAGTAATTATCATAAGTGTTATTTATAATCATTACTAATATTATATTGATATTTAACATTTCTAAAAAAAAGTATAAGTTCTTAAAATAAATGCCATTTATTATCCAACTTAAAATAATTATTAGAGACTAAAAATAATTAATTTAAATTTTAGAGGGATGAAAACTAAAAAAAAATATTTTACAAGAATCAAAATCAAAATTTACTTATTTTACAATGACCAAAACTAATGTTTATAAATTTTAGAAAAATGAAAAACAAAGAAAAAAAATTTAGAAGAACCAAAATCAAAATCATCAATTTTATAGAGACTAAAAATATATTTAAATCTAATAAAAATATTTATTAATTTTGTCGATGAATAATTTGTGTTAAATAATTTGATTAGTCATATATTTAAGTACGTGGCTAGAAATTCAATTTTAAAATTCATGAGTATGAAAAAAAATATTTTTTTTTGACAAAAATGAAAGAACATTTATTAAGATACATTAATCTCTTAAAAGAATTAGTAGCTAGTTTTGATAGCGAAATCTCTAGATTTACTTAAAATAAATAAATAAATGAAAATGTGTTTTTTTAACCAGAGTTAAATTTGCCAATTTGCTCATTTAATTCAAAAGTTTTGGATAAGAATTTATGATAACGGATATAAAATGTTCACTACTAGTCATTTTTTCATTGGAAAATTCCTTAATGGCTTGGGAAATTAATCCTATAAGTTGATTAGTAGGATGTCAATAGGAGAATATAAACTAAGAACCTATATTTTCAGTAAATCAATAATCTATTTTATAAGGACCTAAATACTTAAAAAAAAAAAGTAAGTAGGTTGAAAACTTAAAGACCGATTATTGTTTTCAAAATCGGTCCTTTTTTTATTTTTTGGAAACTGAAAAACAAAATGATAAAAATTTATTTCTCAATTCTAAAAACTTGTTTTTAAAAATAAGAAAATCAAACAACTTAAATGTGTTTAAAGTTGTATTTTTACTTTGGTATCTTTCACAACTTATCTTCATTAAGAACATCAACAAAATAAGGTAGTTGAAAGAAAATATCATACTTTAGAAGATATGGCAAAAACACTTCTTTGCGAAAATAATTTGATAAAATACTTCAAGATAGAGATTGTGAACACAACGTTGTACGTTCAAAATAGAATATTAATAAGATCATTGCTAAATAAGACTCCTTATGAATTGTGAAAATGAAGAAGACTCAACATTTCATACTTGTTGGTAATTTTGTGATGCAAACTATGTTGATGATAGAATTAAAAGAAAGAGTACAACTGGAGGTTGTCACTTCTTGGAAAACTGCCTCATCTCATGAGCAAGCAAGAAATAGAACTCCATATCTCTTTGTTGAGGCATAGTATATATCAGTAGTTGGATGTTGCCCATAATTCTTATGAATAAACTATTAATTAGAAGACTATTCTAGTCTTGAAAACAAAATACATGTATTTTATGATAACACCAGTGTTATTAAATTGCCTAAAAATTCCATACAACAGTCTCTAAAGCAAAGCACATTGAAATAAAATAACATTTCATTCATGATTATGTTCAAAAATGAGTTTTTGACATAAAATTTATTAACACTAATCATTAATGGACTAATATTTTTACAAAAGCTTTAGCTGAAAAACGTTTTAAATTTATTAGAGACCATTTGCATTTAAAATACACTTTAGACTAAACATCAAATGCGTCATCCTGCATTATGTTTCATCTAACATGCATTACCTTATGCCTACGTGTCATTTCATTAATCTGACTCGTTATATGCACACTAACATATCATCTGAGTTTTTGAAAAGGTATTAGGTGCATTAATTAAAGGCTCATAAATGCTAAACATCATTAGATGCATTGGTTTATGAGAAAGGTAATGCGTGGAGAAATGGAAAAGATAGAGGCACATCACATCAGCACCTACAGCCTATTATCCCCTCAATCTACAACCATGATGCTCAAACCTTGCATCCACTACTCAACAAAACTCAATTGTTTTCCCTCCACTCTCACACTTTCTCAAAAACACTCTTGCGAACCCCTAACTTTTCATCTTCTTCTCCAAAACTCTCTCTACAAACACCAAACCCTTATCTCAAAATGACCCCCAATGTTTCTTCATATACTCACAAGGTACCTATGGAAGAGTACTTAGGATTTGTTTTCCTGCCAAGCAAGACGATAGTCATGTAGAAGGTGCAATACAAGGGCTATATGATGAAGTCTTACCTTGACCACACCAATTGGACCAAGTTTGTTGAGTTCAAGTACGACTAACACCACGCTCTTTACGCTATTTTTGGACATCTACCATCTAAGAACCACTTTCCATCATCAGACGAGTGGACCAAATTAAACTACCATGAGGGTAAACCACTAATCATTGCAACTATCTCTAATTGCAAGGAAGAAAGAGAGGTTTACAAGGGTGACTTGGAATTTGCCATCACTTTAGGAGATAATGGATGCGTTCATTTACTTCAACGACCCATGACCCTAAAAGAGGAATGAGTTGAAGAAGTTCCTCCAAATGGCCAACCTCACTCTGTTATGCAAGATGTTCCATAACCTGTTATTCAACATATTCCTTCCGAGGCCAGGATCTCACGAACATGTCCATTACTTAGACAGGTTCTACCTCTACTACTTGGTGTTGGGGAGCCAAATCAACCTACCAAAGTTGGTTTACAACCACTAGAAGATGCGCGTCTCGTAGCATGACCAAGAGAGGAGTAAAAGAGACCACATATGCTCTTCACGAAGGTGATTCAAAGAGTTGGGTTTGATACCTACCTCTTCACCATTAGAATAGACAGTGGTAAGGTGTCTATGACCACCTTGAGGAAAATGGGTATAACCCATCTATTCTCCTAGGTGAGGAGCCACCCACTGACCCTGAAGACGAAGCCAAAGAAGCCCTTTTAAAGAAAACTACTATAAGTTTCCGCTAGACCCATAAGTCCACCCAAAACACAAAAGCCTCCTCACCCTCCAAACCTCAACCATAAACCATTATCTCTAAAGCCTTAAAAAAACATGTCCATGAGACTTTGTCAAATCCAAATGATATGCCACTCATGCACCGTGTTACCCATAAAACCTCCACCTCTAGTAATGAGATCATATCCCAATTTCCTCAACCATTTCAACCAAAACCCAAACCTTAACCACAACCATCTCAACCTCAACCTCAACACCTCAACAAACCACCCTTCATCCTCTATCTACCCACAAGCGATGCCTTGTGCATGACCCAAGACCTACACCTACCCAAAGGGACTAGAAGGAGGAGCAAGTTGTGAAATGTCTAAAGCTTCAATTTGTTGAGGAAACCAAGCAACAGGCCTTGATGGATACTGCTTTAACTATTCTAGAAGCCCAATAGTTGGAAGTTTCCCTTAGTTTGTCGTTGAGCCAACCAACGCTAGCATAGTCTCAGTCTCTTCTAAAGACTCCTACTCAAGCTCAAAAGGAGCCTTAAACATCAGTTTAGGAGGTACCCCAAGCTTTATCTGAGGGGAGGCTCAATCTGAAGGTCTTGCTTAGGCTAATGTGGTTGATGGCAAAGCCACAAGTGTGGATTTTGTCTGGTCCATCTTACAACAACTTTGTACCACAATTTCCAATCTTAGTGGAACCTGTGTGTGCAAGGTTTGATGTCACATTGTCAATAGAGGTTATTTTGAATGTTAAACCTCTCAATGTTGATAATTCTATGGTGGAACCAAATCAGAGGGATCCAAAGGATTTCATCTTTATCATGCCACCCTCTGATCTAGTAAAGTCTGATGATAGTAGCACATACTTTGAATAAGCAAGGGAAATAGAGCACCTACAAGAGGAGATGAGAATTGATGATGATTGGACACCACCAATCTGTAACTCTAACTAGAGATTTGCCTACTTCAACTTCCAATAGTATGAGGCCATGCATCTTAATAGTGAATATGGAATTGTTATTCGCCCCACTACTAAGATGCAACCTATTTGAAGGGAGATCGATTTGAACTACCTCCTTGGCTGGATGGTAAGATTATATGATTTGTCAAGCCACAAAAGAGCGAAATGTAGAATCTACTCACTTCCAAAGCTACTATTGAGTTAAGCATAGAATGCACTTCTCATAACCTTCCCTTTATGCTTGGAGAGCTATATAGACCATGGATGATTCAACCCTTGACGAAATTATACATGCAAGACATTATCTCCAAAGATGTAATTCACTCCATCTATAAAGCAAGGAGAAGTTGGTTCAATATGAGTTTAACAAATTCCATGAGTGTTATGCACGTCACCATACCTCACATGATCTCTTTCCTATCGGTGAGAAGCTTGAATGATTTCTGCCAACCAAGGGACAATACTTTATTGTCTACCTTCTCCCTTCCAAGATCGAGCCAACAAGCTTCAACACTTTCTCTATCAGACGTAGGTTGTATTGTTATTATCCTCCATATGATATTGCTGTTTATATCTTTCTACTTGGGAATATAATATTCCTATACAGAAGAATGTTCAGGTTGCCAACATCAAATTAACCAGGCCCATCTATTTCATCTACTTTTTTGCCACTAGTAATTCTACCTCTCCTCCACTCGCCATTGAAGAGGACTATGACAAGGTGATCGTTTGCGTATATCAAGCTATACACTATACTCTAAGGAGGCAATCATGCTCTAAACGCAAAC